TTTGGGGTTTGTTTTGGATAAAGAATTAATTTGCATTTCTTATCACAATTGTTATGGCTAAAACTAAAATTGCATGAACTGTACAGTGAATTTCATTCTATTTTCAGGTAACTGAATTATTCAATTTGAGTAAACAAATAAAAAACATCTTATAATTATGCTTTGAAATGTATTTCAGCTGTGGCTTATAATTAGTAGTCATAAAACAAGTTGGTTTTGGGGATAATTACCACCTTTCACTTTATATTTCATTTTTTTATGAGTGATCATGGATGTTTGTATAACTTTCTATGATTAAAGTGTGCAAAGTCAAGATTCATACAGGAATTCTAAGGACAAATTCAAGGATTTTATAAGAATTTTGAGACTTTAATTCAATTGCTTTTCACAGACTCTTTAAATGCAAATGAGGGCAATGTAAAGTCACTCATAAGTGTCTATAACAAAGAAAAAAACAAGAAATATATCATTAACATTTTTTTTTTACACACTGGTGATGGAACATTAAAAAAATAGAAATTAAATGATGTCCAAAAAGGGTTATCTCCCTTCCTGTGAATTACTGTCTTCATGCATCCAGGTTAGAAACTATGTAAGATCAAATTCAAGCACTTTTCAAGGACAAAAATGATTGAATACACCTCAAATGACATAATTTTGGGTGTACACAGCAACAGAGTCATGTGTCATTAATGTATACTGTGTCACACACACACATAAATATACACACACTACTTAAAGCTTTGTCAAGGTTTTTTAAGTCTCAGCTGCATTGAAATAAGACAAGAACACTTGTAAAGAATTTACATTTCATATGACAACCTTTGGTGAAAAAATCCAGAAGGAAAGAATATTTTTTAGTTTTTAGTAAGTGTAAATTAGTAGATATGATATGAAACAAAAAATACCTGACGTTATTGAAAATGTAACTGAGTAATCAGTGACCAAATTTATTTATTTATTTATTTATTTATTTATTTATTTATTTATTTATTATTACTATTATTATTAGTAGTAGTATTATGTTTTTATTTATTTACAAAATCATTTATTTTCATTTTTTTTACTGCTTATACTAGCCAACCTGTAGGTACATGTTCATTTGTACCAGTATAATGTGCATTTCATACTGACATGAAAAAAAAAAACTCTTTATGCTAACAACAAAGGTGCATTGAAAAAATATTTTCACTTTTATACCAACACCCATTAATTACTCACAGTTATCAATTTTATTTGAAAGCAACATGTTCATACTAAATTGAATGTCATTTTTGAAAAATTGGGCCAACTTATTTGTGTGAATTAATTAGTGTTATTATTTATGGCTTAACATGAAAATATCATTTACTAACTCTTCATCATAAAAAAATCACAGTAAACGTGAATAGAGAAACAAATATACTCACTCATATTTAATAACAAAGTTTTTATATTAAAATAAAAATTACACTTTAATATCTAATTGAATGTACAGTACATGTATAGAGAGGAATTGTGTGAACTTATTTGTATGGCTTTGGTATCCTAAGACAGCATGAAATCCAAGTAAGTATCAAATTTGAACAATGTGGTGAGTATTTATTATAAGCTACTTACTGTAGGTAATATTCACACACGTTTTTATTGTAAATTTAATGAAATACAGCGCTTTTTGCTAGCGGCAAACTTGGGGAATCCCAGCTGGGGAATCCCACAAGAGGAGCCAAGTCCGATTTCTGAGCTCGCATGTCGGAGGAAACACATTCAAAATGAGTGAATTTTCCGACGAAAACTTGTAAGAAAATTTAAAAAAACGTCATTATGAATGATTCTCAATTTCAACAGACTTTTATGTCTAGATAAGCGTTTTATCGCCGCAAAGCACGGCAGTGAAATACGTCGATGCGGGTTATTCATGAACCGAACGTCACTTCCGGAAAGTTACGTGAAAAGTTACAAGAGTTTGTAAGTCCGAGACTTAGTTCTACAAGAGTTTTGAGAATACCGTGTAAGTCTAAGATACAAATTCACGTAAATAGTTACAAATTGTTGTAAGTTACAAAGTTTTGAGAATACGGCCCCTGAATTCTTGTAACTTTTCACGCAACTTTCCGGAAGTGACGTTTGGTCCATGAAATTCAGGGGCCGTATTCTCGAAAGGTTTTTACTTTACAAATTCTTGTAACTTTTCACGTAAGTCCGATCGTTCACGTAAGTTGGTATTCTCGAAGGTTTGTAAGTTACAAACTCTTGTAAATATGCACGTAAATTTACAACTGCTTCCGAGCTGTTGTAAGTCGCTACAAAAAGTTGTACGCATGCGCACTTGGTGAAAAGTCGGGGAGAAAGTGTTGTCTGCGGGAATTTTATGCTCGTGTTTAATGTCGGATATTTTTGACAGCAAGTAAAATTATTTAACCTTGGATGTATTATTATCAGCGAGAAAGGTTAGCCTTTCGGATATTTCAGGTTAGTTGCCTAAAGTTAACGATTTAGATGAGAAAAATACGTTTCTATCGATCGCGCGATGGCAACATGGCAGTTTGGCAGGGTGTCCGAATTTTTAAACTAAAATGAAAACTGATACTTTTTAAAAAATGTGAGAGAATTACTAGTGTTGTGAGAAAGCCAAGTTTATGAGCTTTTTGGCGATATAAAACATTTTAGTTGTTAGTCAAGATTAATCAATCGAACGACGGTTGAATTTCAGTTTCTGAAGCTTCCGACCTTTTTAGGATGAAGATACATGTTTAGTCAGTGAATAAATTAAAATTATACTAAAAAAACGAGGTTAATAGATGGGGTTTTGTTCGGAAAAAAGTTATCTTTTAACTGATGTATAATGTTTGCTGTCATTATATTATTTACAAATTTTCTGTGAAATTTTGTCGTGAAGGTGTGTCTGAAAATCGCCATTTTTATCTGCAATTCATTGACTCAGGTTCTTATGCCTCTATTCCATACATGTGGTGGAGAAAATATATGCCTTCTACATCACAAAAAAGTACATTTCAAATGTTTTAAAATGATATACTGCACACTATGTATCAAAAAGTATCGAGAGGCTGCCAAAGGAATAGAAATGTGTAGATAAAAAGTTACAAATGTTGACCCCCTTTTCGGCACGTCATGGTGACCTCGATCAGCTGATGGCTGCATTTAAAACTATACATAAGTTTCATTAACTTTATTTTGTAGGTTTTGTAAATAATAATGGATTGGCAGCGTTCAATGATGATAATAATGACTTATCATCTACTTTCGAGTGATTTTAGATATTTAAACAGTATTTTAACTAATTTAAAAGGCTCGGTTTATCCATTTAAATGAAGGAGGTCCAGTTCAAATAGTGAGATAATTATCAAATGACTTAAAACTTTTAAATACCAAAAAAGACTTACTAGTAATGTGTGAGTTAGTAAAATATTGTACATGTTGGCATTTTTGATAGTATTCCACTTATGGCTTTCCTTATATAACATTGTACTTATTACAAAGTTACAGAGTAAATTCTTATTTAGAGTAAACTGACACTTGCTTAGATTGCACTTTGATCATAACAATTATAGCTGTTTTCTTGCTACTGTTTCATTTTTAAATTGATTTCATACTGCAATTGCAAAATATAATTCCTGCATAGTCCCATCTACTTGCTGCAGTTCTAAGATAAGGGAAAGTAAAACCAATATATACCTTATTAATTTTAAAATTAAAAAATACTTTTTGCCAAAGAAATAAGTATATTTCATTATTTAAGTTCCTCAAAGAATAGAAATATTTAGATCTAGTCTTGTTACAATAATAATGAATGTTAGTGCGCCATGTCACATGACCTTGTGGTCACTCTTTATAATGCGAAGACTAATCAGTCACGTGATTATGGGTGTGTGTGGTATTGAAATGCATAGAGAATTCAGTACACAAGTAGGAACCATACCGGTCGGTCACCCTAGATAGCATATAATGTAAGTAATGGTAAAATGTATTTCTTTTTATTTAACGTATATACTGTAGTTTGTTTATATTAGTTTTTATGAGTTTATTGTTTACCGCATACTTATGTCATTTTTTTCATTTTTTTAGATTTGTACAAGAGTCCAACGTACACAACGGACAAACGAGATAAGGTGTTCATTGTGATAACGAAACTGTAACAAATTGTGCTATCTATAAGACAATAAATGATTCAGTGATTTTATGTGTAACGTCGTCTACAATATTAGTACAAATATTTTGCTCCGAACACTGACATCATGAACGGTGAAACAAACGCAGATGTACCACAGTCTATGACAGACTCAACTACCATTAAAACTTTAAGGGACAGAAAAAGTGCAGCGCTACGCTCAGTTACAGTATGCCGTAACAAAACAGTGAATGCTATGACTGACTTTAATAACCTTCATATCGTGAAAACAAATTTGGAACAGTACGATGAATTATTTGCAAAGTACCAATCTGCATATAATAAATACTGTGAAAAACTTTCTGAGGATGAAATGACGAAGGAACTTCATTCGTTTGAGGAAAGACAAATTTCTATGCTAGAGTTTAGACGACATGTGCTCAATTGGACCAGCGAGGCAGAACAGGCACTAACTGCTAATTGTACCAGCTCAGCCAAGGGTAGCAACCACAGTAGCGGGTCACGATCGTCACGCCGTTCTCGCTCTTCACAGTCAGCCCATACTGAGGTTTCAGCGCGTGTAAAGGAACAAGCAAAGATCGCGGAACTCACCGTTGAAAAAGAATTACTACAGAAAAAACACCGATTGATGATGGAGAATGAACAGCTACGAGTGGAAGGTGAAATAGCAAAAGCACGTGCCCGTGAACGCGTTTATGCAGAAGATGACGTCACGACGCATGCGGCAGCCACACCCACCTCTTCCCATGATGCATCCCATTCAAACCCATCCTCAGTCAACCTTGGTGAAACGCAACGCCCGAGCAGCGCACCGTTAAACGTAGATGCTCCGGAATTTAGACCACACCAAGCCCATACGCATCCGAGCAGCATGACTGAAGAAAGCCACTTGGTTTCTACGAACACGCTTGTTGCCGCGCTTTCTCTTCCACAGCCAGAAATCCCGAAGTTTTCAGGCGATCTGATCAGTTACAGGACCTTCATGACGGCATTTGACACTCGTATAGCATCGCGCACAGCTTCTCCCTCTGACAGACTTTATTACCTAGATCAGCATCTCGTTGGTGAACCCAAAGACATCGTCAGTGGTTGTTTCCTGTTTGATCCAGAGACCGGATACCAAGAAGCTCGCCGCTTACTTGATAAAGAATATGGGGATCCATACAAAACTGCTTTAGTTTATATCAATAAAGTCAATGCTTGGCCTGTTATTAAACAAGATGATTGTATAGGTCTGAAAAAGTTGTCTTTGTTCTTGACAAAGTGTTGTAATGCAATGAAATGTTTGTCATATTTGAATGTTTTAGATCACCCTCCAAATATGCTCAATGTTGTTCAGAAATTACCATTTTATTTACAAAATAAATGGCGCGAACAGGTGTCTAGAGTACGACAGACAGAGCATATAATTTTAAAGTTTCAGGATCTTGTTACTTTCATAGCATCAGCGTCAGACGCAGCCAATGATCCAATCTACGGAAAGGCAGCTAAGCAACATGTCCCCGCCAACGCTACGATTCAGCAGGGTAAGGGCCAGATGAAAATGACCAGCTTTGCCATGACGTCACAAGGTTACGTAGGGTCATCATTAAACTGTCCGCTTTGTCAGCAACACCATGACCTGGATGACTGCCCAACGTTTACAAGTAAGTCCATGGCTGATAAAAGACAATTCTTAAAAGAAAAACGTCTTTGCTTTGGCTGTTATAGACCCGACCACATTTCCAAGGGGTGTTTGGGAAAACGTGTATGCCAGAAGTGCCATAAGCGACACCCGACTTCACTCCACATAGAGGGTTTCCAACTTCGAACTTCCCTTGGTAGCCAGACCAACAGCGATGGTAAAAAGACACGAGATTCCTCAACAACGCGTGTAAATACCAATGATACTACAGTTAAGTCTAGCTGTGCAGCTACCGCTTCTCCAGACTCGACAGTTTTACATGGGGTATTACCGGTGAAGGTGAGTCAGAGAGGAAGCAGCAAAGTTATTACCACTTACTGTTTTTATGACAATGGCAGCAGCGGGTGTTTTATAACCAATGATTTGTTCCAAAACCTTGAAGCCAGTGGTATACCGACGAGGCTCAAGCTGACCACTATGCAAGGAACCGACTGCGTGGATAGCACTTTGGTAGAAGGCTTGGTCATTACAGATTTGAACGGAAGCAACGCAATTGACATGCCCAAGACATTTACCAGAAATGTTATTCCAATCGACCATCACCAAATTGCAACGCCGGAAATAGTCCAGAGATGGGATCATTTACGACATATTGCCTCTGAGATACCGGAGTTTCAGCAAGGAGTTGACATCGGTATTTTGATCGGTAACAACTGCCCGTTAGCTTTAGAACCTCTGAACGTTGTGCCTACAGATGGTAATAAACCGTATGCCATGCGGCTACGACATGGATGGACAGTACATGGGCCAGCATATTCCAGTGATGTGGATCACATTTCATGCAACCGAATAATGGTGGAAGAAACTTGTAAAGAATTATTCACACCTGCCACTGTGATGCACATGATGGAACTCGACTTTAATGATCACAAGCCGTTATATCCCGACGAAAAGGGCATGTCACAAGAGGACAGGAAATTCATACAACTGGTAGAGGAGGGAATTTTCTTTGCAGACGGACACTATACAGTACCATTGCCATTTAGGTCCAAAGCTGTGTCAATTCCAAACAATAGATCACAAGCTGTACAGAGAGTGATGTGGCAAAAGAAAAAGATGTTAAAAAACTATACCTTTCAATCAGATTACATTGACTTTATGTCCAAAATCATTGATCGTGGATATGCAGAACGGATTCCTATCAATGATGTCACACCTGTAGAGGGAAGGGTATGGTACCTTCCACACCACGGAATCTACAATCCGAATAAACCAGGAAAAATGCGGGTTGTTTTCGATGCCAGCGCCAAGTACCAAGGGACTAGCTTAAACGATCACCTCTTACAAGGACCAGATTTAGCCAATAACCTGTTTGGTGTTCTCAGTCGATTTAGACAGCATCAGATAGCTTTTATAGGTGATATAGAAGCCATGTTTTTCCAGATCCGAGTTCCTGTTGAGCAGAGAAATTTTCTGAGATTTCTTTGGTGGGAAAATGGAGATCTTAGTGGTGAGCTACATGAGTACAGAATGAACGTTCACCTTTTTGGGGCAATTTCGTCACCAAGTGTAGCCAATTTTGTTTTGAAGAAAGTTGGAATACATGCAGCAAACGCGGAGGTAAGGAACACTGTGCTTAGAAACTTTTACGTTGATGATTGCCTGAAATCAGTTGTGAATCATGTGGATGCATGTCATCTTGTAGAGAATCTCTGTCATACCTGTGCTGAGGGAGGGTTTCATCTGACAAAATTTTCCAGTAACAGCATAGAAGTGATGTGTTCCATTCCACAGATTGAACATTCCAAAGAAATGTCTGCTGTCAATTTAAGCTGTGATGACTTGCCCGTCATTAAAACGTTAGGAGTGCGGTGGGACATTAGAGCAGACCAATTTGGATTTTCGATCATGATGAGAGAGAAGCCGCCCACCAGAAGGGGAATCCTGTCGCTCATCTCTTGTATATATGACCCATTAGGTTTTATTGCACCAGTGGTTTTACCTGCGAAGAGAATCCTCCAAGATCTCTGTAGGGAAGGAAAAGTGGACTGGGACGATGTTCTACCAGAGAAGTACCTAGAAAGATGGCAACAATGGTTATCATCTTTGCCGGACTTGGAGAATCTCAAGATCGACCGCTGCTTTAAGTCAACGCATGCTTCTGATGAGGTACAGCTGCACGTTTTTTCTGACGCTAGTTCAACCGGATATGGGTCAGTTGCATACTTGCGGAGCAAGGATCAGTCGGGAAAAGTCTCCGTAGCTTTTGTTGCAGGCAAAGCTAGACTGGCACCAATCAAGGTCACGACAATTCCTAGACTTGAGCTCACAGCAGCAGTGACGTCAGTGCGCATAGCTAAATTGATTCAACGAGAACTTGATCAGAGCCTGAATGTTTATTTTCATACAGATTCGGTTACGGTTCTTCGTTTCATACGCAGTGAGACCAAGCGATTTCCAATTTATGTTGCGAACAGGGTGCAATTTATACGAGATTTTTCTGAAGTTGAGCAGTGGAGATACGTCCCATCCTCAAAAAATACGGCGGATGAAGCTTCACGAGGTATTTCTGTTGAGCAACTGCTTTCAAGTTCAAGGTGGTTACAAGGTCCAGAATTCTTACAAGGTGATGAGGATACCTGGCCACGGAATGTCATCGATAGCAACGATAATCTACAATTGCAGAATGACAGAGCAAGTGATGTGTTTCAGCATTGTGGTTTCTATACAGCTGTCACTGTAAGGGAAGACCCTGAGGAACCGTTTTCTCAATTAGTTCATCACTTTTCCAGTTGGTATAAGCTGAGGAAGGCCGTTGCTGTTTATACAAAGATGTTACGGTATCTTCAGTTGAAATCCCAGTCAAGGTTAACGGCGTTTTCCTCAACAATTGGTGTCAGAGACATTGAAGAAGCAGAGCTCAAAATCGTACGGTGGTTACACAAGGGAATTTACAATGCTGAAGTGACCCAGCTTTCTATGGCAGAATCGGGATCAACACGGAGCCGGGTAAAGTTACTTCCACGATCTAGAAGTCTCTATAAGTTGGATCCTTTCTTGGAGGATGGTGTTTTGAGAGTAGGAGGGAGGCTAGCTCGTGCAAATATACCAGAGCATACCAAGCATCCGATCATTTTACCTCGCAAATGCCATGTGACAACACTAGTGATTCGTGAGGCACACGCAACCCTCGGACATGCAGGCCGTAATCATGTGCTCGCCAGTCTCCGCAACAAGTACTGGGTCATAAAAGGTAATGCGTCAGTGCGTTCAGTGTTGTCAACGTGTGTTATCTGTCGCCGTACCAGAGGTGTAACACAAGAGCAAAAAATGTCCAATCTACCAGTTTGCAGAGTTGATGATACAATGCCTCCATTTAGCCGTTCTGGAGTCGATTATTTTGGACCATTTATTATCAAAGAGGGTCGGAAAGAAGTAAAACGCTATGGCGTCCTTTTTACGTGTTTAGCAAGTCGAGCCGTACATTTGGAGGTAGCGATCAATCTTGAAACGGACACATTTATAAATGTTTTGCGGCGTTTTATTGCACGTCGGGGGAACGTTATAGAACTATGGAGTGATAACGGAACCAACTTCAGTGGTGCTCACAAAGAACTTCAGCAGGCAATTGAAGACATGAATCATGGCATCATTCACAACGATATGTGCAAAGCTGGAGTCGACTGGCATTTCAATCCGCCTACGGCAAGTAATATGGGCGGATCGTGGGAGCGTATGATTCGTTCAGTTAGGAAAGTATTATCTGGTTTGTTGCATGAATATGGAACTCGTATGGACACTGATTGCTTGCATACATTTCTATGTGAAGTGGAAGCAATAATGAATTCTCGGCCAATAACCAGCATATCCTCAGATCCAGACGATGCAGAGCCTCTTACGCCAAACCACATTTTGACTGCGAGATCACATGTTAACGTACCCCCACCAGGCGTATTTCAGCAACATGATTTATATCTGCGAAAGAGATGGCGAAAAGTTCAGTATCTTTCGAATGTATTTTGGTCCAGATGGCGCAAAGAATACCTGCTGAACCTTCAAAAGCGTCACAAATGGAATAAACAGCAAAGAAATCTCAAAGTCGGAGATGTAGTTATCATAAAAGATGATAACGTGGCCCGAAATGTATGGCCGATGGGTCGTGTTGAGGATGTGGAGATGGACAACAATGGACTAGTGCGTACTGTACTATTAAAAACACAAAATTCCAACTTACGTAGGCCAGTGAACAAACTTATTTTACTGGTCGCAAATGACAAAGATTGTTAACCATCAGTTATATCTGCATTTAAATGTAGACTTATGACATTTTCTATTTTGGTGTTAAGTGACGGTGACTGTTAAGTAAAAGATTTAAGAGTAGTAATGATTTAAGGTTTAGGCCTATTAATGCATATTTAGTTAAGGCATAACGGTTGTTCAGTTTATTTTCATATGATATTGTATTTTAACTGTGCACTAACGTAATTAAGTTAAATTAGTTTGCGTTAACTAATTTAGGAGCCGGGAATGTTAGTGCGCCATGTCACATGACCTTGTGGTCACTCTTTATAATGCGAAGACTAATCAGTCACGTGATTATGGGTGTGTGTGGTATTGAAATGCATAGAGAATTCAGTACACAAGTAGGAACCATACCGGTCGGTCACCCTAGATAGCATATAATGTAAGTAATGGTAAAATGTATTTCTTTTTATTTAACGTATATACTGTAGTTTGTTTATATTAGTTTTTATGAGTTTATTGTTTACCGCATACTTATGTCATTTTTTTCATTTTTTTAGATTTGTACAAGAGTCCAACGTACACAACGGACAAACGAGATAAGGTGTTCATTGTGATAACGAAACTGTAACAAATTGTGCTATCTATAAGACAATAAATGATTCAGTGATTTTATGTGTAACGTCGTCTACAATAATGAATAACAATAATAATAACTGAAAGTTTTAATGCTTATCATTTTTTTCTGTATTTTCTCTTTTATGATGCACTCACACATACATGCACACAAGAGATTATGTCTCTTTCCATTATATATCGCTCATTAGGAATTATTTTGGGTTTTGTTTTGGATAAAGAAGTATTTTGTATTTCTTATCATCATGTTATGGCTGAAACTAAAATTGCATGCACTGTACAGTGAATTTCCCTCTATTTTCAGGAAAGTGATTTGTTTAATTTGAGTAAATAAATAGAAACATCTTATAATTCGCTATGAAATATATTTCAGCCGTGTCTTGTAATTTGTAGTCACAGAACAGACTTTCTTTTCTTTTTTTCTTAAGTCAGTTTTAGGGATAATCATTACCTTTCACTTTTTATTTTAATTGTTTGTGAGTTATCATGGATGTTTGTGTAACTTTCTATGATTAAAGTGTGCAATGTCAAGGTTCATACATGAACACTAATAACAAATTCAAGGATTTTATAAGAATTTTGAGACTAATTCAGTTGCTTTTCAAGGACTCTTTAAATGCAAATGAGGGCAATGTAAAGTCACTCATAAGTTTCTATAACAAAGAAAAGAGGAAGTAATGGGTCCTACGAAAATACGAAAACCGCGAAAACCGCGAAAACCAGAAGTTGCTAGGCGAAAGCCTCACTATAACTTACTAATTCTCGATGTTCTTGACAAGTTGCTGTAATATTTGGATAACTTGGACCATATTACATACATCATGGCCTTTGATAACGATGTTGTAATGAATTGAGTATGTAACAGCTGAGTTTTCTAGATCGGCAACTATAGTGCGTGGGAGCCATGTTTGGTTTACAATTGGCATGCTAGGCGAAAACCTCACTATAACTTACTAATTCTCGATGTTCTTGACAAGTTGCTGTAATATTTGGATAACTTGGACCATATTACACACATCATGACCTTTGATAACGATGTTGTAATGAATTGAGTATGTAACAGCTGAGTTTTCTAGATCGGCAACTAATAGTGCGTGGGAGCCATGTTTGGTTTACAATTGGCATATATAAACAGCAGTGTCCCCTCAGGCCAGTATTGCCATATCAGGCCAGTATTGCCCTCTCATGCCAGTAATGCTCTCTCAGGCATATGAATGTGGATAACAGCACAATATTTTCTGCTTACTTAATACATACATATAAGAAACTAACAAACATTTATCAAGTAACATTTACAACATTGTACCAACTTTAAGTTAATTAATGCTTTATTTGTAAATGTGTTATTTGTGCATGAGAAAAATTCCTTCTAACTGTACATGAAGTTGTAAGAACTTTGTATTTGCATTAAACTTTATAAAAGAAATATTGAATCATTAAATGTTTTTCATCATAAAAAAGTTGTTTTTGTTTGTTCAAATCATGTTAAAATAAAGGCTCTCTACATACCAAATTCCATTTTACCAAAACAGTTATCAATACATATTTAGTCAATTTGTGCACTGGCAATTTATTTTTTAAGAAAAGGGACTAAAGTCTTATTCTGAGACAACTACAGTGTATTGTTAATACTGACCCGTGGACTTGCGTGCTTTTTATTTTTAATGCATGGATTGTAGTATATTTTATATATTAATAACAGTTTTATCAAAGAACTTGTAGGTTCATTTGACATTACACTCATTAGGATCTGGTTGTCATTAACGGTATGCTTCTGTGGCTCTGTGCCCTCAGGTAAGTGCTAAATCAATAATGATCAAGAAATGATCAAGACTTAACTAGTTACAGCTGCAGTCTTAGCTGTCACTAATTAAGTCCATCTAGCTGTCAGTGTCAACAAATTTAAGTTCACTGCTACTTATTTTCCATGAATTTTTGCAATTTCTTGGTGAATTTTTTACACATTTTGTCATTTTCAAACAGAGCTGAGAATTTGAATTAATGGGCCTGAAGCCATGTGATATTTGTTGCTGACTCTGCTGTCGAGCAAAATGTATTATTGCATCAGCATTGATATTTTCTATCTTGTACCTCATTATTATTTATTTATTTATTTATTTATTTATTTATTTATTATTTTTTGTCTGAAAGTTATGCAGTTTAGGGTGGAATTTCATTCACTTTTTTTTTTTTTTTTTTTGCATTTTCAATATGGGCATGAAACCTATTTATTAGTTATGCATAAAATTGTTGGTGGTAATGCTGTTAAGGATTATGTATTATTGCATCAAAATGCATGAAACCCTCCTAGAGGAGATAAATAAAAATTGATGGTTATTATGTTGTTTATCACTTCATTTTTCGATTTTGTTTCTTTCAAATGGATGTATATACTTAATATTGTGTTAATTTGTTAAAAAAAGTCAGAGAGCAGTTACAATAAACAGTATTACTTAAAGTAGATAAATAAAAATTGATGGGGATTATGTTGTATATCACTTAATTTTTCAATTTTCTGTTTCTTTCAAATGGATGTTTATAGATTGTGTTAATTCATTAAAAAATAAGGTCAGAGAGCACTTAAACTTAACAGAGTCTAATAAATTGATTTTAATTAGAATCCAAGGGTGCATTTGTTTGTGAAAAGTATGCAATCATAATGACCATCAGTTAATTAAAAATCCCATAGGTGTTGAATTTCCAGAATACACAGACTGTATGTTTTTTTCCTTTAAGAATTCTACCCAAATGTGTGCTTGGCCTTCTGGCTGTTTTATGATATTAGAATATATGATGAATATGCATTTTTAGATGCATCTTTAACTCGATGAAATAAGTATTTATAATGTGTGTCTCAAAATATACTTTTCCGTTTGTTAGCTTGTTAACTTGTTTGTGTGAAAGAAATCCCAGGTCTTCACAAAATTTGAACCATTTTACCACACCAAATTTAATATATGCAATTCAGTCATTTCTTTTACACCTGCGGATAACAGTTAGCTATTGTCAACTTAACCCTCTTAACCACAATACTTATTGGACTGATTCAATCATAACATCTAAACAATGACATGAATTCAGTAGGTAGTAAATCCCAATGGTAATCAGAAAGATACAAAAATTCTTTTAAGAAAACGCAATTTGTGCTGTGTATGAGGTATGCATTTGGGACTAGCGAGTTCTGAGAATAAACACATCCAAATCGTTCAATGCATTTGTCTGAAGTTTTTTATTTTGGCCTTAGAACATGTTACATATGAATAAGTATGGGTGCTCTGTAAAGCGCAACACAATCTATGACCTTAATTAAATATGTAGATTCATAATAATTTGTCTAAGTATTCTGATTATAGTTTTATCAGGGTTTAAACCCATTTATGATTGCTAAAGCATTTAGAACTAAAGTAACATTTGTTTTTGACCTAGAATAATGTCCCCTTTCAAAAGTAGTTCAAATAATATGGGAGCTATATGCTATTGCCAAAGCATAATTCTTATTTGGCCAGATATTTAAAGGAATAAAGTTTTAGAGGAGAATTAATACGGTAGAGAGCTGACAATTTTACAAATATAGGCCTCATTCAGAATAGTGGACTAATGATCTGTTTCAAAATTGTTACCTTCCTTTCCCAATATATTATACACCATTGAGAAATGCATTGGTTAAGAACTTATAATACTTATAAAGTACAAAGTGTACACAATAGTTTATTAATAATGGCAACTAGAAAAGCACTAAGAGACCGCAGACCTCCACTAAGGCAGCAGAGTGTCCATCCAATGCCATTTCACTCCTAAATTTTCATTCTATAATGATTTAGTTTTTTATTATTGATTGATTATTGATCCAGTTCACCACCAAAAACTAATCACTTCTAAGTTAACCCATTTCTGACCTACTCTGAAAATGCCATCGAAATATATCCATAACTTTTTAGTTATGATGATGACAAACAAACAAACAAACAAACAAACAGGGGTGATAAAACATAGCCTCCTTGGCAGAGGTAATGATATTCTTTACAAGAAAACTAACACTTTTTGATAATAATATAATAATAATATATTTATTTCAAGTCTAAAATCCATAAAATGTTCAATAGACTGTACAACATAAAATACAAAGAAGTTTATAGATAAAAATGGTTAAGATATATTTTATATAAATAAGAGCTAAAGTAACTTAATTGTAATAAACAGTAATTAAAAGTAAAAAATCCAAGGTTTCTTTAAAATTGTAAAATTTAAGATTCATGAATAAAATGTCTTAAAAATATGAGTTTTTAATTCCTTTTTAAAAGATTCTTGTGATTCTATTTGTCTAATAAAAATTGGCAACTTATTCCACTCTACTGGTGCAGCTACACAAAATGATATGTCACCATATGATTTTAACCTTGATTTTGGAACTTTCAGTAAAAGTTTGTCACCGGACCTCAGGGATCTTTGAGGGCTATAATGTTTTATTATTTTATTTCATATTCCTTTTATTATACCAAGCAGAATGCAAGCCCAAGGACTCTGTTTGGTATATTACATGCTTTAAAATATATGGCAAATGAAATATACAAGCACACACTATTATTTACTATTGATCAACTTCCTGGCAAATAAGAACTGTCAACAGTCCCTTGATATTACAGCATGCCAATAATCAGCATGCCAATAATCAGCAAATAGTGGAAAATACCAAGGTGTTAACATGTTATGGACTATCTTGATATACATAACTTCATTTGCTTTTTGGCAATCTTCAACAAAACACATGCAGGGTGCTTCAAACTGATAAAAACTTACCATACAAAAAGTTGAAGTGTTAAAACACAGCACAGACACAGAAATGATGAAATAGATATGGAATTGAAAGATAATCATATCATATCAATTACGAAATTAGATGTGCACTGCCTAAAACTCTAGGAGTAAACTATTTATTATGTCAATCACATAACATCATTCAGTTGTAATCTGTTATATCTCCTTTCAAGAGAAAATGCCTCCTGCAAATCAGAGTACCAGTACATGTGTTTAATGTGTGTTCCTTTTTCCTTTTTTTTCTCTATTATTGTGCATATAATATATATGCATGATTAACTGACTATTGACATTTTTTCAGAGTTAAAAGAGCTTATCTCTGTATACTGGCACATACACAGAACCCAAATGTAAAAACAATTAAACACATTGATTTGAAGGTAAAATGTGTATTAGACACCTTAGGATACACATATATACAATCTACATTGTATAAATTAATTGATGCTTTAGAAATGGATTTGGTTTATTAAGTGGAAAACAATTAGTGTAACAAATGGCTGTGCATGAATATCTTTTCAAAAAGAGTAAGATAAAATGTGATTAAATAACAAAATCAGTGGCCATGGATCAAGTTCAGAGGAAAAAATGTTTTAATAAAAATAATTTAATTGTATTCACCATTATTATATACCCCTGTATATTGAATATTATCAATTATGTTAATTAGAACCTACATTTTCATAATGCTTTATAAATTGCTCTATGCTGGTCACTTTATTAAACAATGCTACTCATTTTATATTTGGAAAAGTAGGAGTGTAAATTCTATGCAGGTTCAAAGCTCATACAATATAGACTCTACATGTGTGGTGTATTAAAATGGGCACTTTTTACAAGCATTGATGTGTAGTTTCACTTCTGGTTGGAATGAAAAAAAAAGTTCTACTTTGTGCATATTTATTAATTCCTATTTATTAATAAACTTTGTATTACTAAGAATGCAGGTAATCTGTGTTATCCACTTCATATAGTACTTGAGAGAGTATTACTTGCCTGGAAAAACATTACTAACCTGAGAGGGCAATACTGGCCTGATATGGCAATACTGGCCTGAGGGGACACTGCTGTTTATATATGCCAATTGTAAACCAAACATGGCTCCCACGCACTATAGTTGCCGATCTAGAAAACTCAGCTGTTACATACTCAATTCATTACAACATCGTTATCAAAGGTCATGATGTATGTAATATGGTCCAAGTTATCCAAATATTACAGCAACTTGGCAAGAACATCGAGAATTGGTAAGTTATAGTGAGGTTTTCGCCGAGCAACTTCTGGTTTTCGCGGTTTTTGCGGTTTTCGTATTTTCGTAGGACCGGAAGTAATATATCATTTAAATTAAATTTTATACACAGTGGTGATGAAACATTAAAAAATAGAAATTAAATAATGTCCAAAAAGGAATATCTCCCCTTCCTGTGAATTACTGCCTTCATGCACCCAGATTAAAAACTAAATTCAAGCACATTTCAAGGTTCAAAATGATTTAATACACCTAAAATGAATCTTTGTCAAGGTGTTGTAAGTCTCAGCTGCAGTGAAATAAAACAAGAACACAGGCACTTGTAAAGAATTTACATCTCATATGACAACTGTTGGTGAAAAAATCCAGAAGGAAAGAATATTTTTTAAGTTTCAGTGAGTGTAAATTAGTAGATAATATATGAAACAAAAAATACCTGAAATTATTAAAAATGTGACTGAGTAATCAGTTACCAAATTTATTATTATAATCATGTTTTTATTTACTTACAGAATCCTTTATTTTCAATTTTTTACTGCTTATACTAGCCGACCTGTAGGTACATGTTCATTTGTACCAGTACAATGTGCATTTCATACTGACATTAAAAAATACTCACTCTTTATGGTAACAACAAAGGTGTACGGGAAGAATATTTTCACTTTTATCTACTAATTTACACTATTTATTGATCACAGTTATCAATTTTATTTTAAAATAACATGTTCATATTAAATTGAATGTCATTTTTGAAAAGTTGGTCCAACTTATTTGTGTGAATTAATTTGTGTGATTATTTGTGGCTTAACATGAAGATAGCATTTATTAACTCTTCATCATAGAAAAAAAAACAAATATACTCACTCATATTGAAATAAAATTTACACTTTTATATCTAATTGAATGCCATATATAGAGAGGAATTGTGTGAACTTATTTGTGTGGCTTTGGTATCCTAAGATAGCATGAAATCCAAGCAAGTATCAAATTTGAACAATGAGGTGAGTGTTTATTATAAGCTACTTACTTTAGGGGATATATTCGAATGTTTTTATTGCAAATTTGATGAATTAAAGTGCTTTTTGCTAGCGGTAAACGTGGGGAATCCCAGCTGGGGGAATCCCACAAGAGGAGCCAAGTCCGATTTCTGAGCTCGCATGTCGGAGGAAGCACATTTAAAATGCGTGAATTTCCCGACGAAAACCTGTAAGAAAATGTTAAGAAACGTCTTTTTGAATGATTCTCAATACATTTCAAGAGACTTTTATGTCTAGATAAGCGTTTTATCGCCGCAAAGCACGGCAGTGAAATACGTCGATGCGGGTTATTCATGGACCGAACGTCACTTCCGGAAAGTTGCGTGAAAAGTTACAAGAGTTTGTAAGTCCACGACTTACAAGAGTTTTGAGAATACCGTGTAAGTCAAAGTTACGTATTCTCAAAACTTTGTAACTTACAACAAGTTGTAACTATTTACGTGAATTTGTATCTTAGACTTACATTTCTTGAAGGGCAAGTCTACGTGAAAAGTTACAAGAATTTGTAAGTTACAACCTTTCGAGAATACGGCCCCAGAATAATAGCATGCCCATCCTGCATGCTTTCTAAATTAATTATTATTTGCTTAAATTTTTGTTACAATTCCTTTTTATGCACATATTATTTATATTTATACACAGACAGAACCAAAATATATCAGGGCTCGACATTAGCGCCTGTCAGCCTGTCCGGGACAGGTAAAAATTCAGTTCGGACAGGTGAAGTTGCAGGGTTGGCTGTCCGACGGACAGGTCATGTTTTATGAGAAATTTGGATCAAAAATCTTTAAAAAATCATTTTTTGTTGCATACTTTTTGCCTCTTCCTAGACAATATTGAAAAGAGTGACCTACTTTTGGCACAAAACACATGCAGTCGCAAAACGAAGTCTGAGCAAACTTACCGTCAAATTATGAAAGTGTACACCCTCCAGAACTTCATCAGACAAAATTTATTCACATATCAGGTTCACTACTGAACATTTATTTAGTTAAAATCTACGTGCTCTAGTAATAAAGACACTTCCAAAAACAGAAACTACACAAGTACTGTGCTGGGGNGCCCCAGATCAGTAGCCCCAGTGGGAATATTTTGAGTGCATGTACCACATATATATATATATATATATATATATATATATATATATATATATATATATATATGTTTATATACTGATCACAAAAGTACTGCCCAATGTCAACTTCTCTGTTTTCATTGATTCATAAGATAGTGACCAAACATGATTTTAAAACTATTTTTTAATATTTTGCACAAATATAATGGTGAAATAATTACACCTTTTCAAATACCATTGCAAACTTGAATTTCAAGTTGAAGCAATCATTAGAAATTCCTGGGAGGTATAAATTGTGACTTTTAGCTGTTTTTGTATTATTTGTACAGTGATGCCCCAACAAAGCCTTTGGGCCCATGCTTAAAGGTGCACAGAATGCAATTTTCCTTTGAAAACTCGTACCTTGGATAAATAATGGTGTCTTCCTTAGAGTGACCAAACTGTGATCATCCTTTCCTTACACTTGACATAACTAACTATGGAAATAAAAGTCCTAAACTCACACTGAGTTAGTGTTTGTTTGTTTTCTTTTTAAAATTCATCCCTTCAGGCTGGTATCTCACGCTGACTTCCAGATTCCACATAGTTTAAAACTGTCAAGATTGTTTAGTGGCAGCGATGGCCATCATTGGGTTGTGAAGTTGATTATTTTTCTTTCGTAAATTCATGATTTGAAGTGATGAAATTAAAATATGATCAAAAAGAATAAATTGTTCTCAGATAAGTTCAGCAAAATGTGGTTTATAAACCTGTATTTATTTAAAATCCTACACTTTGTCACATAAGTGAAGGTCAAGTTAAAAATTATATCAGTGTTGGGTGTTCATATGTAAAATTGCAAGAATTTCATATAGATCTTTGAGTTCTTAATAATTGATTATATAATTTATGTGAAATATTTCAGCCCATTTGAAATGTGAGATTGTCAGCAAGGTGGTTGGGTCTGAGGGTTTGGATCTAATAAACCCTCTTAGAAGAGGCACATTTTCTGAAGGTAAGCAAAGCCCTGCACTAACAAAAAAAAATGCATTCTGTATAATCTGTCATTGCAAAATGATTCTTAAGTAAGACTTTATATCCAGTTCAGATTTAAGATTAGATCAATTCCATAATAATAGATAGTTGAATTTTGATGATTTTCGCTGTAACTTGTAAATTGCATTTAAACATGTATAATTATTACTGAATGTCAGGTTATTTAGTTTTAGGTTAAAGGATGTAGAATGGCAGATGACTTTGACATTATTGAAATCACAGATGCTGATTCTTCTGATGAAGAATTTGTCAAACCAACAGGTAGAATAACAGACAAGATGGTCTCTTTATTGCTAAAGCTTTGAGTGGAAATACTGGGAATGTTAATAGAATGCCATGTTTTAATCATTTGACATGTTGTTCTACATTGTCACATATATCCTTCAAAAAATGATGCTTGTAACTTTTTTCTGGTATTTTGCAATTCTAGGCACACACCTTGAACAGTGTGAAGGAAAAATTGAAAATGATGTCCACCAGATGGCAGGTCGATCAGGACAAGCTGGGCCAAAAAATCTTACTGCTACCATAAAAACAGAGGAAACAAATGATAAAGAATCTTATTATTGTCAGTATAAATCTGGGATTAATGCTAGAAATAAAGGAGGTGAAGCATCAGGACATAATGACAGCAAGTGTGCCACCAGAAAGCATGTGACTAGCTCAGAGGAAAACGATGATATGGCTGCCAACACATCTATCAAAAAACGGTGTACTAACAACCTCAAGAAATTGATAAGTAGTACTGAAAAGGATTCCAGCAGTGATTTTGAAGAATCTCAGAGTTTACTCACCCCAAAGAAAAGTTCACAACATTTAAGTAACATTGAATACTTTGAAAATTCTGTTTGCAATTCCACTGGTCAAACACGCCACACAATGCAAAATAAAACACAAGATAAACGTACTGAGCCTGTCAAGGGTTCATCACAATGTGTTGCAGGAAAGCTTAGTCAGCAATCCAGCTCAGTTAGAAACAGTCTTTCAGAGAGAAGTAATACGGAGGCAAAGAAACACAGTAGGGATAAAAGAAGGCATTTGAAACAAGAAAAGAAACCATGCAATGTGCTAGAAGATAGCTCAGACTCTGATTTTCAAGAAATGCCAGTGAAAAGAAAAAAAAGAGTGAAAAAACTTGAACCAAAATTCCTGGAAAGTAGTTCAGACTCGGACAAGGAATTCCAGGATATTTTTCCAGGGATAAAATGCCCTATTGGATTCACCTCAGATTCCAGATCAAAGAAGAAGAAAAACCAAAGCATCAAAAAAGTAAACAATACGTCTTCTGCTACATCTGATGATGGCCCATGCTTAGATCCTTTTGAAGCCAATAATGTACAGGCAGCTGTGATACCTTTGGGAGAGGACGGTCTATCCTACAGAGTTCTGAATGCAGACCGTCTCAAAATTGTTGAGTTCCAGTATAAAGTGCCTCAAGTTGTGCTGAGAGATGTCTTGGACACAGTTGAAGGTAAGCTGTACACAGACAGGTGTATTGTAAACCATAGAAAAAGTTCTCTTAGTGGACACCATACTGCCTCTGGTGGACACCCTACTGCCTCTGGTGGACACCCTACTGCCTCTGGCGGACACCCTACTGCCTCTGGCAGACGCCCTACTGCCTCTGGCAGACGCCCTACTGCCTCTGGCAGACACCATACTGGTTCGAGTAGAGACCATACTGTCTCCGGCATACACCATACTGCTGCCAGGACAAACCATTCTGCCTCTGGCGGACACCCTACTGCCTCTGGCGGACACCATACTATTTCTAGTAGAGACCATACTGTCTCTGGTGGACACCATACTGTTTCTAGTAGAGACCATACTGTCTCTGGCGGACACCAAATTGTTTCAAGTGAAAAGAAAACTGCTTCCAGGTTTGATGTTGGTAAGCACCATACCATAAACACAGTAGAGAGATTGGATGGAAATGGAAAATGTGAAAAACACACTTCAGATACCAATAGAATGGAGCCATACAGTAAATGTGACTCTGCACAGGATCTATGTAATGAAAAAGATATGAATATTATTAACAAGAATCAGTGTGATGGTAAAAGTATAAAAGAAACGGAGAGACAAGTCACCCAGCTTNTACTGCCTCTGGCGGACACCATACTATTTCTAGTAGAGACCATACTGTCTCTGGCGGACACCCTACTGCCTCTGGCGGACACCCTACTGCCTCTGGCAGACACCATACTATTTCTAGTAGAGACCATACTGTCTCTGGCGGACACCCTACTGCCTCTGGCAGACACCATACTGTTTCTAGTAGAGACCATACTGTCTCTGGCGGACACCAAATTGTTTCAAGTGAAAAGAAAACTGCTTCCAGGTTTGATGTTGGTAAGCACCATACCATAAACACAGTAGAGAGATTGGATGGAAATGGAAAATGTGAAAAACACACTTCAGATACCAATAGAATGGAGCCATACAGTAAATGTGACTCTGCACAGGATCTATGTAATGAAAAAGATATGAATATTATTAACAAGAATCAGTGTGATGGTAAAAGTATAAAAGAAACGGAGAGACAAGTCACCCAGCTTGGTCCATTGCCTTCAATTAAGGGCTGTGATCTACAGGAAAACCCTGCTTCAACAGAGACAGTGGCACAGGTCAGTACAGGACAAACTGAAGAGGAGCCTGGAGAGGTCAGTGAAGTGGACAGCATGTCTGGAAGCTCCCTGATACTGGACAGTGATATTGAGGTCATTAGTCTGGAGGTGGAGGAACCATCACCATTTCCTTTCAGAGGGAAATCTCAAGATGCCAAATCAATTAAATCTTCCAAGAATGTGCCAAAGTATAACAATGAAGAGGACTTGTTGAGGAAAGCTCAGTTGGAGGAGGAACACAGCCAGAAGTTGGATATGGATTCCTCAGATGATGAGGTGCTGCTCACAGCTCTGTCCATAGAGGAGGAAAGACAGACCAAGGCCTCTCAGAGGACACAGTTAGAAACTTGTCACACAAAAGCTGATGATTCAAACAGTTTCTGCATTGGGGCTACAGCCCCTAGTACGGCATTGGGTCATCCTGAAGAATGCTCTCAGAAAGAGAACAAGAAACAGAATGTATCAACAATGGTAGAAAAAACTGAACAAAAAGAAAAGAATAGCAAGGATATAAGCCCAAAAAATGGTAACATGTATGAGGACTTCCAAGGAGTAGATGATGAGATAAAGCCAGCTAATTTTGGGTCATATGTCAGTGATAGTAAAAAGATCATGTCTCAAGTGACCAGTTCCAAGACGGAGCCAAGTGCTTCTAGAAGTAAGCAATTTGACAATCAATTGACAGTGTCCAACAACTTTTCTTCGTCCCATGGATACTCTCATTCTGAAAGTATAGAGCTTCTCTCTGATGATGATGATGTGGAGGCAGGGCCTGACCTACTCAGGCTGTCACAGACTGTCATTGACATAGATAGTGAGGATGACTTCTCTCCACTGCATATTAAGCAGGAGGAAGAAGAGGAGGACCACATGGACACAGGGGAAGAGACAACCCATGTTAGCCCAGCCCAGGGCCGAGTCTCTGATGTGGTGGGGTATTTTGGACAGTACCATGCCACACAACCCTTTGATATCCATGATGAGGACTTCCAGGACACACAACCATTTGAGATGCTGTCTTTTCAAGAGTGGGATGCTGAAGATGCAGCACAGTTGCAGTATGAAGATGACACAGAAACAGAGGGCCTTCCTGACCTGGGCAGTAGTAGTCATCAAGCAGTGGAGGGACTCCAGGAGGAAGCATTGCCCCAAACCAGTGCAGTGTCAAGAAAGGAGTACCATTTTACTTTTGACTCTTCTGAATCCAGTTCAGATGAGCTGCCATTTGTTCTTGATCGACCGTCAGGGTTTGGGAAGGACAAATCTGGGAATGATGGATTGAAGCCATCACCCAAGTTGCCACTCAAGTCACAATCTTTCACAAAGAAAGCTAGTCACACAGCTAGACCCGTATTTCATAGGATGACCAGTGCAAGTAGTTCTAAGTCTGCCAAATTGTGTGAAGCTCAGCCTCTGTTCTACAGGGGACGCCAGTACTCGGGGGATGACCGCAGGCTGCTGACAGGGAGGGCCAACATGGCTGATGAAAACAGTTTCACAGCAGCAAGGTTTTATGCCAATGAAAAGAAAATGGAAGAGCATAGTAAACAGGAAAGTATATATGGGAAGGCATCCAAGAAGAAAAAGCATTCTAAAATTATGAAAGGGTCCAGCAGCAGTACATCTTCCTCTGATTGGTATGGACAAAAAATGAAACGGCATATAGCAGAAGCCAAGAAGGCCATGAGACGTAGGCAGTCTGTGTCAAAAAGCGGCACATCTTCACCAAAAAAGTCAGAAAAGACAAAAGGTGATTACTTTTTAAATTTAACACCAAGTTCAGTAAAACTAACCCATTTTAAATATTGGATGTGTTCATGTTAATATGGATAGCCTGGCAGATTTGTCATACAAATGTGCCCTTTGAGTGTTTTATAATTGTCTTTTGATTATTTAGGCTTTATCCGCCAGCCTGGCCCGATTGCTCGCAAGGCTCGTGTCTGGGTGAGTGCTACTTCCAGACAGGACTCTCTGACAAAAGATATGATGGCTTCCAAAGCACAGAGTTGGCGTCAGTCCATTAGAAATAAAAAAACATCGGCAGGGCCTTCAAAAAAAAGGTCTACCAGTGATGCTGGAGCAGTTTCTACTCTAGGATCTGAATCTGCTAGTACTCTGCTACCTTCCACTGGAGATGTTACAACTGCTGCTAAAACCATGGTAACTAATACTAAAGATGGGACAACTGCCACTGAAACTATGGTAACTAGCCCTGGAGATGTTACAACTGCTGCTAAAACCATGGTAACTAGCCCTGGAGATGGGACAACTGCCAATAAAACCATGGTAACTAGCCCTGGAGATGGGACAACTGCCAATAAAACCATGGTAACTAGCCCTGGAGATGGGACAACTGCCAGTAAAACCATGGTAACTAGCTCTGGAGATGGGACAGCTGCTAGTAAGTCAAAACTAACTATTGCTATAGATGGTACAGTACAGAAAGCTGCCCCTGTGGTCCAAGAAGAACAAGGTTCTGGGAGTGGGAAAGATGTCCCTTCTGTACATGTCACTAAACCAATTGGAATCCTTAAAAAACCAGGAAGAGCCAATGGAAAAAAGGTTTGTTGACATCAGTTAATAATAAGTTTATTGTGACTATGGCAATATGTCAAAAATGTTTGGGTATGCTGGGTGTTTTTGGGGCTGGGTATGCTGGATGTTTTAGAGGCTGGGTATGCTGGATGTTTTTGGGCTGGGTATGCTGGATGTTTTGGGGGGCTGCAATTGCTGAATGTTTTTGGGCTGGGTATGCTGGATTTGAGCAATGAAGTGGTATTTCTTTAAAGCACAATTTTGGAATAGAAAATCAGTATCTGTGTAATTGGAGATGCATTGTAATCCAGTTAGTATGCTGAATGTCTATCCAAAGACAAAATGTTGTTTAGGCATCTGCACTTTTCAGTTACTCATTATTGGTATATTGTCATTCTCATTTGGACATTGATTTTGTTAGTAGAAATTGCGTTACTATATGTTGTAAGGCTGTGAGGTGATTCCTATTTTTCAGAGGATAGAAGATGGAGTAAGAAATAAGGTATCTTTTGGGGAAAGATTTTTCAAAGAAATCCCGAGAAGGTCAGAGCAACAGTCCCGACCTGTCAATATGGCTGCTATGGCCCTCGATGTGCATCCTAGGGCTAAGAGCGCTCCTGCCAACAAAACCAAGTTCTCCGAGTTGAAGTTTCTGGTAAACATGCTGACCAAGTTCAACACCCGCTGGCTCAAAGGTATGTCTTGACTGTGTCAGGTAGAACTAAGGTAGGTATTGACTGTGTCAGGTAGAACTAAGGTAGGAATTGACTGTGTAAGGTAGAACTAAGGTAGGACTTGACTGTGTCAGGTAGAACTAAAGTAGGAATTGACTGTGTTAGGTAGTACTAAGGTAGGACTTGACTGTGTCAGGTAGAACCAAGGTAGGAATTGACTGTGTCAGGTAGAACTAAGGTAGGACTCGACTATGTCAGGTAGAACTGAAAATCAACCAAGTTACAGTGATGGAATTCTTCAGTTAATGGCAGTTAAGTTTAAAAGTGACATTAATGGTTAGAGCTATTTACCATTTAATCTGCAGTGGTTTCCAATAATTAGAGTTACTTTGAAGAGAAATACAACTTTAAATAGTTAAAAGATTTGTTTTACTTCCAGAATGTCTAACATCTGATGCAGAGCCTCCTGCTGCGGGGGAAGGTGTCTATCTGCATCCCCTGCTGCCCTCTTACAGCAGTTTAGATGACTACATTGAAATCATCACACCTCTTATGTTACATGAAATATGGGCAAAGGTAGGTCACTGACATTGAGATAGTTACAAGATAATATGGTGACTCTCAAACCCATATTTGCAGGATTTGATCTTGGTTTTTCAAGAACCGTCATTGTAAATTGTTCAAAATAAGTTCATAATTTGACTTTTGATTGGTCCTACATTTGAATAATTTACATGGGTTGGATGTACTTGGCAGATGCACAGTTGTGACAATGTGAGTTTTTTCCAGTGTGGTAATAAATGATCTTTCTGTATTGTTCTTCTAGGCTGCAAAAGATTGGAAGGAAAAGGGAAATGAATCGGCATGTCATTTTTTAGTTCTTGTAAATTGCAATTTCAAGCCTGCTTTACAGGGTTACATGTTCCATGGTCTACAGGGTGAGTTGAAATATAAATACTGCTGTGAGTATGGTGATTGTAATTGCCAATTTAGAATTCATATTATAGGTGAGCCGAGATATCATCTGATGTAAGGAAATTTTTACAAAATTAAATTCTACAACTCCTATTACCATATATTTCATAAGGTCAATCCATTCTGACCCCTTTTGGTTGCAGATTTAATCCACAAGAAGGCGCTGCTGACCAGAAAGTGTGTGGCTGAGGGCGATCTGGTGGTGCTCCACATGGCAAGGAAGCTGAAGCAGGGCAGCATTGAAATACTGCAAGTGTTTGGCTATGTGCAGAGTGTCACCAGGACTGCCATAGGGGAGGAACAGAACCTCAAGGAACTGCTGGGTAAATTACATTACAAAATTCTTGTCATTCCTAACACAATGTCACACCAAACATTTTGTTGCACACTGGCACAAATCATAATGTCATGATGATAACAGCTAGAGTAAGCTTGTTGTGACTTCCTGTTAATGTTCATTTCCAGCCAAGAAAAAGTTTGCAGGTCACAGTGCAGCGGACTACACTCTGTTTACACTGTCAGTTATGACAAAATGGAAGCCAGCTTTTTTAGAACTGACTGATGAAATTCTTTTGAAAGCAGAGGTAAATAGGGATGCACCNCGCCTCTCTGATCCTCTAGTTTTACTTTGATTTAATTTGTTGACCTTAATTTTGAATGTATCCATAGCCAGTTTTGGTGGTCTCTGGTGTAAAAAAAAAATTAAAATTTATTTCTGATAACATTGCATCTTCCCTTGAAGACTTAAGTCTATCCACAGGGAATACAGATGAACTACCCTCAGTCTGTGTAGATTACACAACAAAACTGAGAATAATTCATCTGTATTCTCAGTAAATTAGCTGACTCAGAGGTGTCTTAGACCCCATTCCCATAGATTTTAGATCGATCTATCCCTGTGGGGAGTCTCACTAGATTACTGTCATCATAACCGACTTAAGCATCTATCCCGCCTACTAAAAGCTGTAAGGAGGTAATTAACTATGGTGCGCGCTAGGCTGACTGCAATTTAGCGTGAACCCCCAGGGAGTTAGGTCGATCTAAATCTCTGGATCGATCTAAATCTCTGGGAATGCACCCTTAGAGGGAGATGGAAAGCTGCGAACTAGACAAATTTGTGTGTCCAGTAATAGATTTGAAAAGTTCATGTGAAATATGAATAGGTGACTAACATACATAGCATTGTAGTGTGTAATCATTTGCAGGTTGTGACTTCATTGACCTCCAGTATCCGCTGTATTCGAGGACTCTCTTATCTGAATAAGAGCCTCTTGGCGAGGGACTTCCTGCGTCCAACTAATGGCAATGTATTTGTCCGATCTCCTATCAAACTCAGTGAATCTGTGGTAAGCCAATGTAATTGTGTACGTATATGATATAGCTCTGTAGCATATACATGTATAAATATTGCAAGGTGGATCAAAAAACATATTAATATATTTATGTGATGCACAAACATATGCTAAGATTATATTTATAATAGTTATAACTATATTGAAGTGGGATTGTATATTTTGCGTTTCTTTTGTATCAATAATGACAAGCAGTGTACAACCAGCTTTCATTGGAGATGTTTGCTATTTTAGCCAGGTTTCAATGAGAGTCAAAGTAAAGTCATCCAGTCCCTGTCTGAGGCAGCTGTTCAGCCATATGCTCTGCCTAAGATTGGACTGGTTCAGGGACCACCAGGGACAGGAAAGTCACGCACTGTAGTCGGCTTGTGTGTAAACATATTACAGGTAATAATTGCACAGAGTTTCTGTAGACATAGCTTGTTTGATGTTGAGTTTGATAATTTTTACCATGAACTGAACAATGTATGCATTTAGAAAAGTGGTGTTTACTCATCTTTAGGATGCTTCTGATCATGTCCACAAATTCAATATCTGCCACTTAATTAGGAAGGAAAAGGCTTTGTATTTTTTATTATGTACAGACACAGATGTGTCTGTACATATTGCCATCACCTGCGTCTGTCGTCGCCGATGCCGATGCCGTCGCCGTGCTCTTTCCTTGTAAACACGATAAGTGGAGGACAGTTTTTCTTTTTGGCTTTATATTTACACAGCTGATGAATATTCATAAAACGCAGGTCAAGTTCGAAAATCAGCATGATCGGGCCATTATTGTAGAAGTTATGCTGTTTTTTCACTTTTCAGCATATATGCAACCCTGTAAACACATTTTAAGGAAAACCGTTAGGCCTGTTGTCATGAAACTCATAGGAGTGGTCAATCTTACTAAAACGCAGGTTGAGTTCGAAAATCAGCATAATCGGGGCATTATTTTAGAAGTTATGCAGTTTTTTCACATTTCCTCAGATTCAACTCTTAGGCATGTTAACAGTCTCATTATTGAACTAATTAGATATATAAAAGTGTTTGTTTGACATTTCCTGCATCTTTACAATATTGTTAGTTGATTATGTAAAAATGATGGTAAACTTGTTATCGTGTATTGTGTAATAAAGTGTAAAAAATGGAAATAAACTCATATCATTGCAGTTTGTCAGATTCAATCATTCTCTATGTTCAGAATTTCAGAATGGAGGAAATTGGACATTTAACACTATTCTATGGATATTTTCCCCATCTCATCAATTTTCTTAGTTGATCATATAAAAATTGCAGTAAACTGTTTATTTTGTTTTATGTTAAAAAAAAGTGTTAAAAATGGAAATAAACAACTGTCAGAACAGTGCTGTCTTGTTTACATTTTGGCATTTTCAAGTTGTGACTTTGAAGTTCCATGGGCTTGAAGACCTTTGCTAGTCACATTTACTGAATATCCATGATACTAATATTTTATTATTAAAAATTGATGGTCATTATGCTGTTTAACATTATGTAATATTGCATCAAAATTTGAAAAAAACCTATTTTGGGCACTGCTCCCATGATGACCATTTAAGAAAAACCATGTCACTTACTGTTCTCAAACAGTACAGTAAATATGTACAGATGTGTCTGTACATATTGCCATCACCTGCGTCTGTCGTCGCCGGCGTTGCCGTCACTGTCGCTGTCGCCGGCGACGTGACTGTCATTGTAAACACAAAAAGTGGAAGGCAGTTTTACTTTTTGGCTGTATATTAACAGAGCTGATGAATATTCATAAAACCCAGGTCAAGTTCGAAAATCAGCATGATCGGGCCATTATTGTAGAAGTTATGCTGTTTTTTCACTTTTCAGCATATATGCAACACTGTAAACACATTTCAAGGAAAACCG